AGCACAACTGACCTAAATGAAACTTAGCAGTTTCTGCGTTGTACTTATCATTTGTCTCTCTCTCTCTCTTTCCCCCCCTTTCTGATCATTATTGTTGACTAAATTACGTGCGAGCTCTTGTAGTAGAATCGATGTAATTTTCTTGGTGATTACTGCAAACTGACGTCAGCTTCATGCATTTAAATCACCGCTCACGGACAATTTATTGTACAGTTTGAATCACGAAAGGCGCAGCTATGTGCAAAAACAGCATGCGCTATTCGGACCTGTTTATTAACGAATTGGAGTAACTAAGGACAATTTAAGAGAAAGAAAAAAATAGTCTATTGAGTTTCCACATTACTTTTCTTTGGGGCGCCCATCAGCGGTCGAGCGGCAAGGTCGTTGAAAACTGAGAGTTCCGACTTGGGTTCGATTCCAGGCGAACAATGTAAATTATTATGTAGAAACATTCCACGTAAAAGTTTTTTTTAAATAATAGAATAAAAATATTTTTGAATAGTGCAGTTAAAAGTTCTGATCTTACCTGTGTATCCTACTCTCTTTGTACAAAAGGGAGTCGAAGATGTCCCATCATTTTTAAGAGCCACTGTATATTTATCATTTTTATAAATTTAATAACAGCATAAAAGAAGTCATTCACAAAAAAGTTATAAATTCTACAAGCGAATTAAGCTAGTATTGGTAAGTAATTAGTAATTATCTATTATTAATTAATAAATATTATTATTAATTATTTGATAAGTTATTATTAATCAATAATTTGCTTCCCGAAATAGAATAGTTAAAAAGCATAATAATTTTTCAGGAAAAAACAAAGATTTTAATTTTTTTTTCCAGCCAGATACAATTTATGTACAAAGAAATCTAATCAAATTAATGCCATAAAATTAATCCAGAAATATTATATTTGCTTACCAGAAAATGTATCAATTCTGTTTACTTTTAATGAAATTAATTGCATAGAATAATATACCTTTCAAATATGGTTAGTAAAAACTGTTGCCATTGAACGAATTAAAAATAAAACCACCGCTCAATATTCGGACGATCAGTGAAAGAATTTTAAAAAAATTGTAAAACTAAGTAAATAATGGGGGGGGATGCTGTAATATTATTTCATCATAAATTAATGCATGTGGAGAGTTTTACACTTATTTAATTAAAAAAAGGACTCAATTATTCAATATTTAATTGAGCATTTTTTCACTGTTTCCTTACGAGGTTTGTAAGAAAAATGTTTCTCTCTAATGAACTGATGTAATGATTTGGAGTTTGCCAAGGACAGGAAATTTGAGAAATAAAATAAAAATTATTACTTGAAGGTGTTAAAAGTCCTTTTAGATGGCATTGAAAAATTAGATTGTATGGATTAAAATATTTATTAATGTTTTAAAATTCTTACATATTCAGAAAAATAAGATCGTTCAGGGACATCTCGACACCTTAAGGGAAAATTATGAATAACTGGTTGACATTTAAGGATTTTATCATTTACAGAAAATAATTATTCCTGTACTAGTAACACATTATGAAAATTTGGCTTACCTGAAAAACATTATAGGTCATATAAATGCAAAGAAAAACATAAAAGCCAGATGTCCACTTCTCCCTTAACTGCGGGAGATCTCGACAGGTATCTACAGGCGGCAGCTATAATTCAGAATATTTAAATGGCTTTTTTTTTTTTTTTTTTTTTTTTTTAAGAAATAAGGACAACGCACTGTGGAAAAGAAAGATTGACGGACTAAACACATATTAACAATGCAACAATATATATACTCCCTTTTAACTAAGTACATTTGTTGCATGTAAACTGGGGTTGATTCCCATTTTGTACACACGCCTCATGGAACCACGTACTACACTCTCCAACACATTTCACCCACTTCTGTCCAGCAGTATCATCAAAATAGTACCCACCGCACTCGCCACAGTAATTTTCACTGTCTTCGAGATCCCTCGAGGTACTGGGTTGAGTTACTCCCTGTGTTGGTGTTTTACTGCGCAGTTGACTCCTGTATTCTGCGGATGTTATAATGGCTTATTCTTGTTTTTTTTCTCCTATTCCGTACAGAGTGGTTCTGTACTACTTGTACAGGGGATAATTCCGAAAGTGATAGAAGCTGATGCAGTAGATGGTGATGATGACCTCTGGAGGTTATCGTCTTCCTCTACCATAACTGGAAAGGTGCCATTTGTAGTAGATATGAGTTCATAGTCAAACACATTGTCTTCTAAAATAAATTCCAAAATATTGTATGGGTATGTTCCACATTTTCGAAAGCCGTTGGCAAAACTGCCTGACTCGACAATCGAGATCTCTCCGTTAGCCTACTGTCGAAATCTCCCCGAGTTACAGATTTCTATGAAAGATGTCAGTACCCCCCTGACTGGTTATGGAAACGTTTTGCGTAGACATCCATGTTCCTGAATGCCTGATCTCACTAGCCAGTCATTTGGAAATCGCCAAAAATCGAAGCCATCGTCCACATTTATCATCGTTATCAAGCCAATCTTATACTTTATGCATTGCAAACTATGAAGAACTTACCTGACAGATTATTAATATTTATTTTCTTGATCAATCTCTGAAATTACAACACTTTCGATTCACAATGACGCACTACACTGTTGGGTTATTCCAATACAGTGGTTTCCATATGCGACACCAGGGTGCAGACCACTCTACTAAGGGACTTCCTTAAAAGTGTCGAGATGTCCCTGAACGACTATAATTGTCTTGTTGAATTTATTGAATTTTGGGAATAAAATATTAGCATGAGCCGAAAAATTGCTCCGCTTTGGATAATACGTTAAATAAGCGAAGGTCTGTTAATATGCCTTTGAATTTGGGTTCAAATCCATTTGTAACTGTGGAAAGTTTATTTTTGCTAGTGAACGTACTTAAGATCTGCCGGTTTGTAATTCCTTTCAAGTGAATGTGATAAGAAAAAGAACCTTTGTCTTCTAGCTTCCAAAGAATTCTCCGTCGTCTCCAACGTAGTTCTATTTTTGAAGATGCCAAAGGCCGATGGTCAGCAAAAGGCGCTTTCCTGATACTATTTTTGTATAAATTCTTAAAGTTATTCCTGTTGTTATTATACAGCTATGCAACAAGAAAAGCTGAAAATGGCTCGTTTCGTACAGTAAACTGTTGCCGACCGCAGGGATTGCGTTATTAATACATTGCGTGGACGACAAAATCGCGTTCTGCAGTGTTAACTTTCGATAGAAAAATTTATTAGGTATATTTCAGATTAAGGAAATGTCTATAAATTAAACAAGCCTAAATCTTGCTGGAATTAAAACGAAAATATGAAACAAATGTTAATTGAAAGGACTTTTATTGTTGCTCAATAAGTACACTTCGGACAAACAACTACCGTTCTACTGGGCCGATTGACGAAATTCAACTTGTGTTTTTCATGCCTCGAAAGCGCGACTTAGAATATGTATTAGATTTATAAATAGCATTATTCTAATATAGGTATTTTAACACAAAAACGAACTTTTTCTGAAATGAAAAAGTTCGTTTTTGTGTTAAAACGTTTTCATATTTCGATTCAAAAAAATGTTTTCCATATTTCGATTCTACGACTCAAGTTATGCCAAACTGCCAAGTTTTGTAAAAATCGTACGAGTATTTTTAAAAAAATTAGCTATTGAATTTGCTATTAAATTAGCTATTAATATCTCTTCTTTTATTAAACTTAATTGATTCCATCTTTTCGAAATTTAGGTTCATTACAAATAAAACTCGCCCATTTTTTATGATTTATTTTTAAAATTTGTATTTTTAAATAATTTTTATAAATTTTTCGAAAAAATTTTGAATTATAACATATAAAATTTTTACCATCATCTTAAAGTAGATGTATTTCTAAGCATATCTGGAAACTGCAAAAAGTTAAGAGTTTTATATTCAAAATTTCCAAACATATATCTGAATTATATATCAGAGCGTTTTGAAATTTGACGTATTTGTTCCAAGCGATAATAACACCAAATGTACGTACTTTATTAAAATTATTTGAAAGTATGAATGATAGATCATTTTTTTCGGCTACTGCACAAAGTAAAATAGGTTGCTATTGCACAAAGTAAAATAAGTTGCTAAAAAAAAGCTTGCGAAGTGAATTACTCTTGGCGCAAACTGAAAAAAATTCGCCAACATAAATTTTTGAATTTCTCTGTAAATTTCCATACCAAATTTTACGAAATTTAATATTTAGGCATAATTTGAGTCGTAGAATCGAAATATGGAAAAAAATTGACATGTCACTTCAGAAAAAGTCCGATTTTGTGTCAAAATACCTGTATTAGAACAACGTTGTATATAAATCTAATACATATCCTAATTAGCGCTTTCGAGACATAAAAAAACGAAAATTTAACTTCATCAATCGGCCCACTAGAACAGGAAATATAGAACTATCCCCCTCTTTTTTTTTCCTCGCATTAGGCTGGTGTTATAAGATTATTTAATTCTACATTGGTTATTTCTTGGTCGTCCAATTCTCGATTAATTATCTTTGATTTCTCCTTGTTTCAGCTCTAAAAATCTTTCGCCACTAATTGCTTTTTCAATTTGTACGATTTCTTTGGCTTCATTTTCAGTTGATGGAACGGTTGATAACTTCCGGCCAGAACTGATGCCAACAAACATTTAATGTTGATGAATGAAATTCTAGCGTTGGATAACTTAAAGCGAAATAATTAAGTTATCGCGTATGTGCAAAATCACTTTCCTCAAATTCGTGTTCGTCAAAGGTTTACTTTAATCGACGTTTCTGCATTTCGAAAAAAATTTTCTTTACTTTTTATTTATTTGAGATGCCAACCTTTACCGTCAGTGCAAGAATAAAGCATTTACATAGAAGCAGAGAGTTATGTCATAATCACATTTATTTTTTATGCTACTTTATCAAGTGATTGATTTAGCTAATAGACATACAAAACATTTTTATTTAAAATTATATTCCATCTCTCTTTTGCAGGTCTTTACCTCCAAGTGTTGTAGAGATGTTAGCTCATGTACCCCCTTCTCAAAGAGCAAGAAATCAACACAGACCGAGTTCTCTACAGTTACTTAGCGTCAGTCAAACGCCAACGTATGGGAAAGTAGAAAAAGGTAAATTCCAGTAACTATACATGTAAAGTATTTTAAAAATATGGCTCACCTACTTCTACTCAATTAAAATTGCTAACCTCAGATGTTGTATAACCAACTTCCATCGCTTGATAAACATAACCAGCACAGAATTTAGCTTAGATATCTGGCTTTGGCTAGAATTTTTCAAAGATATTGTTGCGTTCTACGGGTTCGTGGATTTGGAGTGATTGATGACAACACTTGATGAAGAATCAAAGCATAATTTATTCGTCAGTATTACACTGGACAGTTCCAAAGATGCGTTACAGTCGTCGGAAAACTAGGACAAGCACGCTGAAACAATCAGCAACACAGCCTTCAGGCTATAACGGTGAAGACAGCTTCGCGGGGAAGCTCTAAAGTACAGCTCCTGACTCCGTCGATCGCTCTTGGAACTTAAGACAATACTACTGAGCTCAGCATACTCAAGAAACTTTCTACTCCGCGTACAGGCAGGGTACACATAACTTTTGACCTGCCTTCGAGAACATTCTCGAGAAAACTTGTAAGAATTCGTTCTAGGATGTTCTCGCTCCGTCTATAGCATATCGCCAGTTTTGTCACCAAATGGGCGATGTCCCCCCAAATATGGAAACCCTGCCTTTCCTTGCCACTTTCTGGCGGGGAAGCTATCTTATCGCAGCTGGGCATTTCGTAACAATATAATTTATTGCTTTTATTAATAGGAGGAACGGTCAAACATATTAATGACATGTGATTATTTACATTGATATCTTTTAAATCCTAACCTAGTTTAACATAACAGTTTATAGACACCAAAGAAATTAACATATTATATAATATTTACAACCAAAATAAATTTCCGAGGGAAAAAGTTAAAAAAAATAACAATTACTTTTACAAACTGAGTATTAATTGAAATTTCAGCTACAGTTATATATAAGAATGTTCAAAGTACATGCAAATAAATAAAGAAATTCGTAAATAAAAAATAATAAGCATTAAAAATAAATAAATAAATGAAAAAAGAGTTTTAAAAGTTGTTATTGTTATTTGTATTATATTAGGGAGGATTTTCAGCCAGTTTCTGTAGAATCAAATGCGATGTACTTGGTAAGTCTTTAACTTAGATTAAAATTGTTAATTGTAACTGTTCTTTCAATGGCATGAAATTGTGGATAGTTCAATTTCAGTGACTCGTAAAGTTCTAGGAAACGGGATTTTAGGATCCCAATCTGAAGCTTCAAATAGGTGGAAGGCCAAAGAATTTTCTAAATTGACTTTAATGTAGTGTTGGTTAAATAATAAACGAACTTTTTGATTGTTAACCTTTACATTGTGCTGATATCTTCCACTTATCGTGTAAATCTTTGAAATAAAATACTGTATAAAAATTGAAGAATGTGGTCTAAACTAACCGTAATAGAAAAATGTTCGTCAATTTTACAGAAACATGAAAAGCTTCATACAGTAATTGACATAACAAAAATGATGAGAACTATTTACCAAGAAAGCATCTTAGATCTTCAGCAGAAATATTTTTGTAATAGCATTTCTGAATACAACCCTGGCTGAATATAATTGCGTTTTTGTGTATCATTATTTTATCAACTAACCGCTTGTATGGCCAGACGCTTAAAATAGCTATCATAAAAAAGGGGGGAAAAGTATAATTATTTTAATGAATTTAGCTAATGCAATTTTTTTCACGAGTTCAGCTAGTAATTATTAATAATTGAAAGAATCTGCCTTTATTGCTTTTAAATCGCTTAGTTTGTTAATTAATAAGAGAAGAATTTGAAAGAAATTCCGCTTTGCTGAACGACAACTTAGTGCTGCGTGGAAGATAAATAAAGATTTTTAATTCGGGCAGAAGCAACACATTTAAATTCCTGAGTTTGTTAATTCCATTCCAAAACAAAAACAAATATATTGTATTTTGTCGACTGGCAACACACTTCTCTTATATCGCTGAGTTTTCTGATTAAATTTGAAACATAACTATCTTGGTTTCATTTCATACATGACTACTGATCGCGATTTGTCCCTGATTATTCATTTTACGGGATTAGGCTTCACTTTCTCCCAAGCTTACCATCTTTGCAATGTTAGCCAAAGAAAACAGCATTTGTTTTTAAGAGCTTGTAATAATATAAAAAAAAACATAAATATCTTACACTTTGCCGAGTGGCAACACAAAGCTATTATTTCGCCAAATTTTAATGAAAAATTTCTTAAATACCCACAAAATATGCAATAAATCAAAAACAAATTCAAAATTCGGTCTTCGGGATGCACATGCCTAGGTGAAAGACATTCTGTTCAAAATTTGATGGCTCTATGGGCTTCCATTTTCCCATAGTTTGATTAAATTCGGAAGAAAAATATATTGCGTTTTCTCGAGTGGCAACACGCACGTCTTTTATACTTGTATGTATGTTAAATTTTCTGCGTTTTCTGATTAAATTTGAAACATAAATATCTTGCGCTTTGCAAAGTGGCAACACAAAGTTTTTAGCTCGCTGAGTTTTTAATCAAACGTTCATTAAATTCGCACAAAATACGAAATAAATAAAAAAAAATCGAAATTCAAAATTTCGGTTTCGAGGTGACAATGCGAGGCTCATACATTCATACATTTATTATTATTAGCTTTCCATTTGGAAAGCTTAGTCAACTTTTCAGAGAAGAAATTCCTTCCTAATTTCAGTTGTTTAACTTATAACCTATTCTCAAAAACATTTAAATGGTGGGAATAAAATGCAATTATACGATGTTATGTTAGATAATAAATAAAAATCTATGAAATACATCCTTTAAATTGTAAAACGTGTATAATCCAAGTTTTCTAATATTTAGAGTCAAACATTTTATTGAAATGCAGTGCCATCCTTAAAGCACAATACACATTACGAATGGCATCCAGTTAACTTAGACTTTTTTTTATATTTGTTGAAATTTCTGATTCATAAAAATGTGTTGTTGTAAATAGAATTAAAATTTCCAATGCTTAATTTCGGATTCGATGCTAAGAAATTTCTTAAAGTGTACCAACGATTGTGGAATTTTTTAATAAAATTTGAAATTTCATTAAATTTTCTAGCAAGAATCGGTACCCTATATCAGACAGTTTTTAAAATATTTATGCCGGTATTTTTTTGAACGTAATTTGTAATTACAAAACAGTAAAAAATTATAATACTGTATTTTCTTACATCCATAATTTAAGGCCAATAAAGTAAACTTCATGTTCTTATTTCCTCATGCTACGCATTTCCTTAAAAACACTCAGATTTCTTTAAAATATTACGAATTTAAAATTAACCAAGTAATCTTTGATTTAGAAGCTATCTATGCATGACCTAAATACGTCTATCTGCCGTTTTGATTTAAAATGTACTTAAATAGGTTTTTTACAGCATTAATTTCCCCATCCTTTCTGAGATTTTTTTTTTCGGTTATTTTTTCGCGTTTGTGAAAAATTACTGACCAGAATACTATTTACATACACAGGTTGGTTGTAATGTACTCAGTCTTTTACATTTATTACATTAGTTTATGTTTTCAGTTTCGTTAATTTGGCATAAAGATAGATACTCCATCGAGTTGTCGCAGGGGAACAGATCCATTACATACGATTTATTTTATTTTTATTTCATTTTTTAGCTAAAAAGCCTAAGTTTACTCACACAGCATTCCGTCCTCTTTAACTCCATACATCATTAGAAAGTTAGCGATCATGCTGTAATGGATGTTTGCAAGGTGAGCCCCTATTAGCGACTCTGAAGATGTCACGAAGAATGTGCCACTTAATGAATAAGTTCCCGTCCTCTGATCTCGTGGCTTTTGGGTAATTCATATTCTGTCAAAACGAAAGAGGCTTCATTAGTCAAAAATCAAGTCGTGAATTCTTTCCTACCGGCTACCAGCCCTCTTCTCAACTCCACTCACACACGAAGTTAAAATAAAATCTAATTCCAACTGATCATAGTCACAGTGTCTGTGACCATTTATTAATTACCTTCACCGTTCTGGCGAAAGTTGCCTGTATTTTGCAATGAAGAACCTCAGAATTTTATGCAATATCATTAAACCGCTTATCTCAGTGAAAATTATTTTCCGTCTTTTCAGTATTTTTTCAGTGGAGAGTCTTCTCCCAATTAAGCGGCGTAATGCTAAGTATGACGCCCATGGTTGACTCAAAACATACGTATAACCCGAGAGCAGTTAAAAAGACATAGAAATGAGGAATAACTCTATTATATGGTAATTAACAGAGAATGCTATTAAGAATTTACCTAATTATAAGCAGTATAATTCGAAGAATAAGTGAATTTGGTTACGCATATTAAAGTTACTTGAACTGATGATTTAACAGTGCTTATACATTCTGAATTACGTTCCACTGAATCAGGTACTGTTGTGAATTAAAACAAGCTCCTGACATCATCATTTGTCGCTGATGTGATATTTCGGATTTTTCTTTTCTTGTTTATATTCCTTTTGCTTTGTGCTGATATTTTCCGATAGAAATTTTTCCATAGTTCTGCAAGAAACAATTTTAGCTTTTTCGTTTCCTTTTTGAAGTAAAAGCTCAATCAATCGAGAGCTGACTATGTATAGTTATTGATAAATTTTCGAAGTCGAAGAATTTGAGATTAAATAAACAAGGAAACCTTAATGAAATTTTCAAGCTGGAGTTTGAAATTTCCTAAAATTGAGTAATAAATTCAGATCTTTTTAAAAGATTTATTCCATTTGACAAGAAATTTTTAAAAGATATATTCCATTTGATATTTTGGTATGTCATCAAAAAAAAAAACGTCTTACAATTTACACGTATATAATACGCCAAAAATAAATAAGAAAAATAAATCCATCATCAGGGAATTAATTTTTTAATCGCTTTTTATATTAACCGCTAATCTGTCGATAAAAATTTAATTGGATTGAATTGTGTTACGTATACAAGGCCTTTGAGGAGAGATGCCTTCGAAGACGACTTCTAAGGGTACTTG